AACATCAAGAAGCCAAAGAGAGCACTGAAGAGACTCACACAAAGCTGTCCTAGAAACAGTATTACATCTCCTATCACATTAACTTTCCCTATCCTCAGAATGTTGCTTATGATCAGCTCTGTCGCTATTGCAGACGATTTGCAGAAGCTTTTCCCTGTTATAGCAATCTGAAAAAACACCGAGAGACAGAGTAAACTATCAAGATTTTTGTTCAAAGAAATGGGCTTGTTTTGCTGAACGAAGGAGATTTTCTGTTACCATTATGTAGGCATTACGGTTAACCGATTTGATGGTCCACTCCACGCTTTTGAGACAACCACGTGAAGTGTAATGAGCCATTCTCCAAAACCAGTGATCAGGTGTGGTCCCGCTTACTTTTGTTCTACGACGAATTGCTTCGAGAATGAACCGAACAGACTCAACAAAAGAGACAATGAGTGAACCAAGAGCCACAGATCCTAGGTTGTAGCGTGCAAGCCGCTTCATTGAGGCAAAAACAGGAAGAAACGGTATCTCTGGCTGCATTGTTCAACCATAAAACCTCAATCAATACATAATAATAATCTACAGTTTCGTATATTTCGACAACACTTCCCCTGTAGCTATGGCTGAGGAAGTCATCTGACAAAGGCTTCCTTCAAAACCACGTAACCTTTACCATATTCCAACTGCTGAGATTTGTTTTTAACTTTTTCTTTTCTAGGTATTCTCTGTTTGTTACTTTCCTGAAACAGTGCAAATTTTTAAGAAGTTTCTATACTGAAACACTAGTCATTTAACACCAGAATCTTCTAAAAAAATCTGCAGCTTTCTTACAAAGCTAAATCAGAATATAAAAGTCTAAATCACAGCACTTAAAGTAAGAGCCAAGTTGATTCATTCGATCCTGTGATTTTCAACTAAAGTAAGAGCCACGCCAAAATTTTCCTTCAGTTATATTAGGATACAACGATTATACTAACACAACAAACCATTAATTTACATATCCTAGTATTTTAGTTTTTTTTGTTGGGTCAAAAAATAATAATGTTTTTTAAGTATGGAAGTGAAAAAATTGATACAGAAATAAATCTAGACCTTATTCGAATAGTTCGTAAAAGTATAGGGATCTGTTTGCAATTTTTCAAAATTTTAGATCCTGAGTTCTGCAATATAAATAAAGAACAAAAAAAATACGATCACAGGGAAATTTCGAGACAAAAATGGTGTTGAATAGTCAGTCGATTGGTGGAGACAACAGTTAATCTGTCGTAAGGGATATGGTGCATATATACATATGCTATATATACATAAATTATGTTAAAAATTACACAAATCACATTACACCAATTATAGGATAGAATTCTCTGTCCCGCTAAAGCTCTCCACAACATTGATATATCCATAAATACGTACTTGCAAGAAAAAGAATGACCAATCCAGCATCAAAAGCGAAATTCATAACATTGACAAGAGATCACAATCAGAGACAAGTTCAATCTCAATTGTGTAGTGAACAGCAATCATAGTTTTTATTTGTTGTACACAGAATAACGAGTAGAAATAAGATACAAACTCTGTTCTTCAGGATTCATTCATTCTTTGTCGGGTCCAACCATAAAATCATGATACGCCTTAGCTACCTAAAATCAGAGAAACACACAGATGTAGATTCTAGTTTAGAATTTGTTTGTTTAATCAAAACCAAAAAAAGAAAACAAATTCATACCAGTTCCTCATGACGAATTAACCGGAGTTTCTCTTCTTCCATACTTTTCAGCAACATTGGTTCAAGCGCAATGAATTCTGAGGTATGAAAAAATACAAAAAGAAGCAATCACAAATTTGTTATAGAAAGAAGAAAAAAAAGAGAATAATAATTTCAAAATCGAATAAACTCGAATTACCCAAAGCAGAGCCAATAAAAATCCAAGAACAGCCGTCTGGGAATAAAAATTTGAAGAAAAATTTTTTTTTTTTTTTTTTTTTTTTTTTTTTTTTTTTTTCTTTT